CATGGAGATTATATCCCCCCTTATGTATTATACATGGAGATCATATCCCCCCCTTATGTATTATACATGGAGATTATATCCCCCCTTATGTATTATACATGGAGATCATATCCCCCCTTAATCTCCTCTTCTCAAGAGAGAATAAATTCAGTTCCTCTACTCTTTCCTCATAGCGGAGCTCCTCCATGCCTCTTATCAGTTTGGTTGCCTTTCTCCAGTTCCCCAATGTTCATTTTGTGAATTGGTACCCAAAACTGAACTGCATATTCCAGATGAGGTATTACTAATGATTTGTACCGGGAAATTATATCTCTCTCTGGAGTCTATACCTCTCCTAATACAAGAGAGAATTTTTCTCGCTTTAGAACCCGCGGCTTGGCATTGCTGCCATTATTAAGCTTGTGATCTACCAGAACTCCCAGATCCTTCTCCACCATTGATTCCCCCAGTTGTACCCCCCCCCCTAGTATGTATGATGCATGCATATTCTTAGCCCCCAAGCGCAGAACCTTACATTTATCAACATTAAACCTCATTTGCCACATAGCTGCCCAATTACACAGAGCATTGAGGTCGACTTGTAAGTTGGAGACATCCTGTAAGGATGTTATTCCACGGCACAGCTTGGTGTCATCTGCAAAGACTGAAATGGGATTTATAATCCCAGACCCGATATTGTTTATAAAAATATTAAAAAGTAAGGGTCCCAACACTGAACCTTGGGATACACCACTGACAACACTGAACCTTGGGGTACACCACTGACAACACTGAACCTTGGGGTACACCATTGACAACCCTAGACCATTCAGAGTATGAATCATTAACCACTACTCTCTAATTACGATCTTTTAGACAGTTTTCTATTCATTTTCACAAGGATTTTTCCAGCATGTAGACTTTACCTTATTATTATTATACAGTATATAGCGCTAAAAGGTTTGCTCAGCGCGGTACATTATAGTGGGGGACAGAACATGAGACAATACAGTAACAAAACAAAACACGAGGGGTTCAAGGGCCCTGCTCTTTTGAGCTTACAATCTAGGACCTCACACAATAGCCAAATGTGGGGAACTGTGTCAAACACTTTTGTAAAATACAAGTATACCACATCCACCACCACCCCTCTGTCCAAGTATACCACGTCCACAGCCACCTGTCTGTCCAAGTATACCACATCCACAGTCACCCCTCTGTCCAAGTACATCATGTCTACCGCCACCCCTCTGTCCATGTATACCACGTAAACCACCACCCCTCTGTCCAAGTATACCACATCCACCACAACCCCTGTCCAAGTATACCATGTCCACCGCCACCCCTCTGTCCAAGTATACCACGTCCACCGCCACCCCTCTGTCCAAGTATACCACGTCCACCGCCACCCCTCTGTCCAAGTATACCACGTCCACCGCCACCCCCCTCTGTCCAAGTATACCACGTCCACCGCCACCCCTCTGTCCAAGTATACCACGTCCACCGCCACCCCTCTGTCCAAGTATACCGTGTCCACCGCCACCCCCTCTGTCCAAGTATACCGTGTCCACCGCCACCCCCTCTGTCCAAGTATACCGTGTCCACCGCCACCCCTCTGTCCAAGTATACCATGTCCACCGCCAATCCCATATCCAAGTATATCACGTCCACCGCCACCCCTCTGTCCAAGTATTCCATGTCCACAGCCACCTCTCTGTCCAAGGTTTTGCTTATTTCCTCATAAAAAGAAATCAGATTTGTTTGACAACTTCTGTCTTTCATGAATCCATACTGTCTGTTGCTTAAAATATTTTTTTCCAGCAAGAACTCATCTATGTGGTCTTTTATTAAACTCTCCAGTATCTTCCCAACTATAGAAGTTAAATGAATAGGTCTATAAAAAGATTTCGACCCTTTTTAAACATAGGCACCACATTGGACTTTTTATTTTTAAATGTTGGTCTTTGTTTATTTAGGAAAAAATGAAAACACTCAGTGGTTATTAACCATTAGCCGCCCGGCCAATGGCCGTTTGGCGGCTTCCAAAGTGCTGCTGCACTCCGGGTGCACGCCATTTGGCGTGCTCCCGCACATGCGCAGTTTGCGCTAATGCAGAGCGGCGCAGCAGCGCGATCTGTCACCGGCCGCGTACCTCGGACACGGCAGATGACAGATCTGAGTACCGGCCCCGTTGCTGGTGCCATGTGACCTGCTGTGACCAATCACAGCAGGTCACATGACAGTTGTATACAATGGATGGCTTCATTCATTGTATACTAGTGCCTAGCTGTGAATGGTCACAGCTAATCACATGCACATGTCATGTGATTAGCTGTGACCAAATCACAGCTAAGCAAAAAAAAAAGCTGAATGAATCGATTTCATTCAGGTAAATGCTTGCTTATAGCAAAGTAATTCTTTGCTATAAGCAAATTGTGTAAAAAAAAAAATACTACTGCTCACTTCCCCAAAGTAGTACAATGTTACTATGGTAACATTGTACTACTTTGGTCATAGTAAAATATGAAAAAAAATCTTAAAAAAAAATTTAAAAAATGTAATAAAAAATTAAAAAATAATAAAAAATATATATATATATCTTTTTTTTTTTAATACTGTCACCAGTCAGTGTCCCTGTTCACCGCCATGCCAGTTATAGGATGACGCTGTACTGCACTGGTGACAGTATGTAAAAAAAAAAATAGTGAAAATATTTTTTTTTATTTTTTAATTTTCCGAAAAATTATGACAAAAAAAATACAACTTCAAAAAACTCGCCATGCCTCTTATGAAGTACGTTGGACTGTCTACTCTGCAAAAAGTGGTCATTTGGGGGATATCTGTACTATTCTGACATTCTTGGACCTCAAGAAATTAGATTGGCTGTCAGTACTTCAGGATTGATCAATATTCAGATCTATACCATAGTTTGTGAACTCTATAACTTTCCTACAAACTAAATAATGCATCCTAATTTGGGTTATTTTCACCAAAGACATGTAGCAGAATACATCTCGGCATAAATTTATGAAGAACAATTATTTATTTGTAAACTTTTATAACAGAAACAAAGAAAAACGTGTTTTTTTCAAAATTTTTGGTCTTTTGTTTGTTAATTTAGCAAAAAATAAAAACCCCAGTGGTGATTAAATACCACCAAAAGAAAGCTCTAGTTGTGTGAAGAAAATGATAAAATTTTAGTTTGGGTACAGTGTTGTATGACCGCGCAATTGTCATTCAAAATGTGAGAGCGCTGAAACGTGAAAAATGGCCTGGACAGGAAGGGGTAAAATTGCACGGTATTGAAATGGTTAAATACTACCAAAAGAGAAAGCTCTATTTGTGTGAAAAAAAACTATAAGTTTTTGTTATGGGCACAGTGTTGCATAACCGTGCAATTGTCTTTCAAAGTGCAAAATTGAAAATTAGCCTGGGTAGGAAGGGGGTAAAAGTGCCCAGTATTGAAAAGGTTAAAAATCTCAATAGGCAACGCTTTGAAAGCCTTTACAGGCTACCAGTTTAGAGTTACACAGAAAGTCTGAATTGATGCTCTCGCTGTAATGTTGGTGACCATACCTCACGTGTATGGTGTGATCACCATTTACAAGACCTACGTATGCGTTCACCTGAGCACAGGGGGTGGGGCATTTTAATTTTATTACTTAGATTTACACTGTCTCTTCACATTTTGTTTATCAACTTTATTGCTATCACAAGGAGTGGACAACATACCTTGTGATACCATGGGCCATGACAGGTTCTCTTTATTGGACTTCAGATCTCTCCTCTGGTCTACAAAGCAGCTGAACAGACATAGATCTGTCTGATTCACACAATACACAAAACCCAAACCAGAAGTGAAAAAATACTCGTCACTTCCAGTTTCTTAGATCATAGAGATGATCGGGGACATTCCAGTCCTCAATCATCTCTATGGTAAATCAACTTCAGCCCCAAGCTCCCCGTTGGAACGGGAGAGCCCAGTAAAGCAGTGGAAAGCATCTTCTGCTACATGTAAAAGTAATCTAGCAGCTATTTAGCCACTCAGATTGCTTTTACAGTTTTCAGCATCACCACTCATGAACCTGGTATCCCAGCTTCAACCAGAGGACGTACATATATGTCCTATAGTGTTGAAGTGGATAATGTGCATGAAAAACCACCATATCTTTTTGCTTTAAATTTTGAATTGGGTAGGTCAAAAACCCCAAGCCCTGGGCCTCGGACCAGTGGCTGTCAGTGACCTGTTGGGGGCTGTGTCACCGGGCAGGGGGTGGGAGGCAGATGAGGATTTGATCTGTATTTGTGGCTGCTAACATTGCCACCTGAAACTCCTATGGCAGGTGACAATTGGGCTGCAAAAACCAACACACAGGTCGGTGGAGTGGTTGTCTTCAACTACTCTGGTCAGGGTGCCAAGGAGGTTGGAGGTGGGGTAGGTGATTAAAAACCCTGTTATCAAAGGAGAGCTATTCATATTTAGATACATTTCTTCTTGGACAGTTGTCATAGGGAAAAAAATAGCTTTATGTGGCTTTAGGTACAATTAAATTGTCTATGAACTTTTCTTAACTGCTTCCATTTGGTCTGTTAAATATGCAATTTAAAGCATTTTATTATATCTGTTTGGTAAGTGCAAAAAAAAAATACCTGTTGATAGCAGAAATCCAACAACCTCATATATATATATATATATATATATATATATATAATCAATTTATATTAGGAGGCCATTTTTACTAATATTTGATGAAATTATTTGCAATCAGTTTCCTTTGTGAACCCATTTTTTCTCCTGATTTTACAGCTGCAAGGATGGAGGTGAACCCTTCCCAGATATAAATGAAGGGACTCCTGTGACAATGACATGTGCCATTCCTGGGGTCAGAACCGATGAGATCCAATACAGCTGGTACAAGAACAACATCCTGATAAGGGAAGGTTCTGTGAGGACTCTGGTGTTCAATGAAGTTGCTAGCAGTGATTCTGGTGACTATTACTGCAAGGTGCAAAATGATAAAGGAAGTGACTCCTCTCCACCAGTTACACTGAACGTAAAATGTAAGTCACCTGACGTAATGGAGTGTAAGGATTATTTATTGTGTTAAAAGGGAGATCACAGCATTTCTTGCTTCCTATCAGAAGCACTGGAGGCTTTTTGCATCTATTTTTTTCTGTTCTGCATCCTTTGCTGTATTGCAGGCTTCCTGCACACATTCAGTTTCACTTTCACACGCTTGTCTCTCTTTTAGATCCTCCAAGAACTCCAGTTCTCACCTCATTCCTGGAGACTCAGAAGGGAAACCTGGTCATGGTTCAGTGTGCCGTAGACAGCAATCCTTCCTCAGAAATGAGGTTGTACAAAGATGGGACCCTCATCGCCAGTTCTCCTTTCCATTGGGCTCCAAGAGAAAGGATCCAAGTGACCTACAAGAAGAATTCTCTGAGCCTAGAGATCCGGGATGTGACCTTAGCTGATGAAGGGATGTACAGCTGTCTTGCCAATAATTCTGAAGGCATTGCAACTGCAAGTGTGAAGCTTATTGTAGAAAGTTAGTATTAGCCTAATATGTGTTATCTGCACTTTGGAAAAGTAAAAAAATACAGTATGTAGCAGTAAAACCGCATGACACAATAAGATTGGATGCTCATACAACGACAGAAGTATACAGCCACACATTTTACATCAAAGTAAGTCTATAAACCTATGTCCCGAGGGCTGCATTGACGCCTTGGTACCCTCAGGCCTTGCTCTCTCTCTACTTCCTAATATTCTTTCTTTCTTTTTCTCTCTCGTTCTCTCTCTTTCTCTTTATTTCTCTCTTTCTATCTCTCTTTCTTTTTCTTTCTCTCTCTTTCTTTTTCTTTCTCTCTCTCTCTTTCTTTCTCTCTCTCTCTTTTTCCTCTCTCTGTGTTTCTCTTTCTTTCTCTCCTTCTGTTTCTCTTTCTTTCTCTCTTTTTGTCTATCTTTGTCTTTCTTTCTTTCTTTCTCTCTTTTTCTCTTTTTTTCTCTCTCTCTCGTTCTCTCTCTCTCTCCCTCTTCCCTCTCTCTTCCCTCTCTCCCTCTTCCCTCTATCTTCCCTCTCTCTCTTCATCTCTCTCTCTCTTTCTCTTTCTTTTTCTCTTTCTTTCTCTTTTTCTCCCACTCTCTCTCGTTCTCCCCCCTCCCTCTTCCCTCTCTCTCTTCCCTTTCTCCCTCCCCCCCCCCCTCTCTCTCTTCCCTCCCTCTCTCTCTCTCTCTCCTCCACCTCTCTCTCTTCCCTTTCTCCCTCTCCCCCCCCCTCTCTCTCCCTCTCTCTCTCCCTCTCTCTCTCCTCCACCTCTCTCTCTTTTTCTCCTTCTTTCTCTCTCTACCCCCCCCCCCTCTCTCTCTCTCTTCCACTTTCTCTCTCTCTCTTTCTCTCTCTGCCTCTTCCTTTCTCTCTCTCTTACTTTCTCGCCATCTCTCTCTCTCTTCCCCCCCCCTTTTCTTTTCTCTCTCTTTCTATTTCTGTCCCTCCCTCTTCCTTTCTCTCTCGCTCACTTTCTTTCTTTCTCTCTCTCTTTCTTTCTCTCTCTCTTTCTCTCTCTCTCATTATCTTTCTTTCTATAGCGTTTGGCAAGCGCTGGTCCGGCGTTTGCGGAGCGGTTTTTAATGCTCGGCAAACGCTCCGCAAACGCCGCATGCGCGGTTTAGCGGCGGTTGCTAGGCGTTTGCCGAGCGTTAAAAAACGCCTCACTAATGCCTATAGTGAAGTTTGAATGGTGTTACCGCTCCGCAAACGCCCCACAACTGCATCGCAACCGCACCGCAAACGCCGGCCGGGCATTTGCGGAGCGGCACCATAGACTAGAATAGGAGGCTTCGACGCCTCCTGACTCGTCCAGAGGCATCCGTTTTGCCACGACGCAATGCTAACGCTCCCGTTAGAACAGCACTATGTGCTGCAATGTGCAGAATTGTCCAAGGCGTTTGGGAAGCGGTAAAAACACTTACCAAATGCCTCTCTGCCGTCTGCACACAACGCTAGTGTGAACGTAGCCTTAAAATGGTGAAAAATTGATTCAACCTTTCTGTTGTGTTTCTCTGTGTGCCACATGGAGCATGAGAAAAAGCAGCAAAGAATTGTCTGAGGATTTGAGAAAAATTGTGGAAAAGCATGGACAATCTCAAAGCTACAAGTCCTTCTCCAAAGATCTTCATGTTCCTGTGTCCACTGTGCACAACATTGTCAATAAGTTTACAGCCCATGGCACCGTAGCTAATCTCCCTGGATGTGGACGGAAGAGAAAAACTGATCAAAGATTGCAACAAAGGATTGTTCAAATGGTGGCTAAAGAACCTCGATCAACTTCCAGACAAATTCAAGCTGATCTTAAGGTTCATGGTACAACTGTGTCTGTTCGCACTATACATCGCCATCTGAATGAAAAAGGATGATATGGTAGAAGACCCAGGAGGACCCTACTACTGACACAGAAACCTAAAAACGCCAGATTGGAATTTACCAAAGCTTACCTGAGGAAGCCAAAATCCTTTTAGAAGAATGTGCTGTGGACAGATGAAACACATCATTCTACTCATTTCATAAAAAGAAATAAGGCCTTTAAAAAAAACAATCCAGTCTCTACAGTCACACATGGTGGGGGGGTCACTGCTGTTTTGGAGTTGCTTTGCTACTTCGGGCACTGGATGTCTTGACCATGTGCATGGCATTTTGAAATCTGAAGACTACCAAAGAATTCTGAGGTGCAATATAGGGCCCAGTGTCAGAAATGTGGGTCTCCATCAGAGGTCATGGGTCTTACAGTAGGACAATGACCCAAAGGACACATCAAAAATCACCCAGAAATGGTTTCAGACAAAGCTGGGGAGTACTGAACTGGCCAGCAATAAGTCCAAATCTCAATCTCATAGGACACCTGTGGAGAGACCTCAAAACAACAGTTGGTGAAAGGAACCCTTCCAATCTGAGAGACCTGGAGAAGTTGGTGAAAGAAGAGCGCTCCACAATTCCAGTAGAGAGGTAGAAGAAACTCATTGATGGTTACAGGAAGCCATTGATTTCAGTTATTTTTTCCAAGGGGTGTGCTGCCAAATATGAAATTGAGGGTGCCAATCATTTTGTCCAGTCCATGTTTGGCATTTTGCATGGAATGCGGCAGATTTGGCTTTTTGTTTCTCCACTTTTTTGTGTCATACCAATACCAACAAAAGAAATCAACATGAGAATGCCAAAACATTTGCAATTGCAACAATTTTCTGACCGAAGTGGCGCATTATCCGACAGAAAGGCAGGGGTGCCAATATTTTTGGCCATGACTGTATTTTTAATCAACAATCCCCTCCTCTCACATTTTAGACCCTGACCGAAGCAAGCATTTCTGCCAAAGTGCTAAAAAACACATCAAACGCACAAATCGCTGGCACGTCAAAAATGGTTAGCAGTCTTGTGTTTTGAGGGGCATTTTTCACGCGACAAAACATGCAAACTAACACTAGCTAACATTTATAGGTAAAGTTGATCCAGGGAATATCCGATTGCCTCTTGGGAGATCAGGAAGGAATTTTTTCCCCTGCTGGAGCAAATTGGATCATGCTTTGCTGGGTTTTTGCCTTCCTCTGGATCAACTATGGGTGTAGGATTAGAACTTTTTTTTTTTTAATTCTTGAACTGGGTTGACTTTTATCTTTTTTCAGCCAGACTAATTTTGTAACTATGCAAAAAATCGCAATGTAAACTCCCTTGGCTCCTGTAGAAAATTTGGTACATGAGCTTTTTTAGTGCATTTTTGGAGAAGAGGGAAGCCCATTCAGATGAATGGTGCCACTCAAAAGTGTGCTATAAAACTACAAAAAGATGCAGTAGAAATACAACATGGTAGCGTCACTCAAGTGAGATCAGGGCCTTATAATAGGCGTCTATAGTTTACATGATCACTGCATCCCTATGCAGTCCAGCAACACAATTGACTTTTTCAATAATAGAGTTATGCTTGTCCCACCGGGAGGTTAATTTGCCGTCATGTAATTTGTAGTACCAAAATGTAACTTTGACCTGCGCCAGCGTTTGGAAAATCATAGAACAATAGCGACCGGGTTCATGCTGACCGGTCCCAGTTTATTAAATTAAATGAATGAAGTGTCAGTGATGGACAGTCTAGTTGCATTTGTATAGAACGGATATAATTTAAGTTATTATAATAACTGATGGTAACAGGAGCAATTACAGCCACAGAGACTACGGCCTCTTGTAGAGCTATTAGGTTCAGCATCCAGCTCAAATATTTTATTTATTTATTTCAGGTACTTATATAGCGCCATCAATTTACGCAGCGCTTTACATATATATTGTACATTCACATCATCCCTAACCCTCAAGGGGCGTACAATCTAAGGTCCCTAACTCACATTTATACATACACATACTAAGGACAATTTAAACAGGAGCCAATTCACCTACTAGCATGTCTTTGGGTGGGAGGAAACCCACGCAGGCACAGGGAGAACATGCAAACTCCAGGCAGGTGGTGCCATGGTTGGGATTCAAACCAACAACCCTAGTACTGCCAGGCGGAAGTGCTAACCATTTAGCCACTGTGCTGCCCAATTACTAATGTCTACTTACTGTACACTACTTTTTCTTCCATTTAATATTCAGAAGGAGACTTTTCATGTTTGTTGAGGCCCCATTCACACTTGGAGATTTGGAATCGCTGGCGGAATCAGCGTGATTCTGCCTGAAATTCCAAATTGCATGTCAATCAATGCAAAGCGTTGTGGCGCATACGTGGGTGCCATTCATTCTGAATGGCACCCCCAAATGCGGTGCAATTTGGCAGTGTCTGTCACATGACTGAATCACACTGCAATCGTGGCAAAACGCACCTTTAAAAATCGCGTGAGGCTTGTCATCTAAAAAGGAGCAGGAGCTTCTGTTGGGCAACCAATGTGCCTAGGGCAGCCAACTGAAGGGAATTAGCTGCCCTGTGCATGACATGCAAAATGGTTTGCTTTTAAAATTTGATTTTGGAATGAATTGAATTTATCAAACAGAAACCACATAGACTGTTATAAATTTGTTTGAGAAAAACGTTCCATCTTGCTCCTTCGAATTTTATCCCTACAGTCAAACGCGAATGGCGATTTGACTCTACTATCAATTAAAACAAAAGTTCTTAAAATTAAAACATTGAAGCAAAATTCTACTAGTGTGTAGCCAGCTTTAGTGACATTCAGCTTGACTTGTTCTGTAATATTGAAGACATTTTGTAGCGTATCCAAGCCACTAAGGAGTGTCACGGACATACCCCAGAATTTACACCCACCGGTCACCCACCTGTTCAATTGTTATGTAACACAAATTGCTAATCAGCCAATCACATGGCAGCAACACAACGCATTTAGGCATTTAGACGTGAAGACAACTTGGTGAAGTTCAACCCAAGCATTTGAACGTGGCATGGTTGTTGGTGCCAGATGGGCTGGTCTGAGATAGACATGTGCAATTCATTTTGATCCGAATTGAAAATTCGGACACATTTTTCATCATTCGGAGATTCGGATGTATCCAAATTCCGAATTAGAATAGTAACAATTTAAATTAATCTGAAATAGCGAAAACAAAATTTGTCCGAAATTCAAATCGATTTGAACTCAAAAACACATTTGAAAACAAATTCAAATTTGAAAACCAATTTGAATTTAAAAACAAGAAGAGAATAATATAGAACAGAAAATAAGAAATAGAAAAGAATAGAATAGAAAATAATAGAGGAAAAAAGAACAGAATAGAAAATGAAAGAATCAAACAGAATACAGTAGAAAATAATAAAGTAAAACAGAACAAAATAAAATAGAAAATAAAGGGATAGAAAAGAATAGAATCCATTAGAATAGAAGAGAAAAGATTACAGTAGAAAATAAAAGAATAGAATAGGAAAGAATACACAAGATTAGAATAGAAAATGAAAGAATAGAAAAGAATAGAGTAAAACTGAACAAAACATAAAGGAATAGAGTAGAATCAATTTTCCTAGATTGTAAGCTCCAAGGATCAGGCCCTCCTATCCCTCTTGTATTGAACTGTATTGTTGCTGTATTGTCTCCCGTTATATTGTAAAGCGCTGAGCAAACTGTTGGCGCGATATAAATCCTGTATAATAATAATAATTAGAATAGAATAGATTAGATTAGAAAATCAAAGAATAGAACAGAAAATATTAGAATAGAGAATCAAAGAATGGAATAGAACAGTATAGAAAAACAATAGAATAGAATAAAATAGACTATAACTGCCTTCCGAAATTAAAATTTTGAATAGAATGAATTTGAATGCAAACAGAATACACCAGAATAGAATATAAAATAATAGAAAAGACTAGGATAAATTAGAAAAGCCTAAAATACTTTACAAAAAAGTGTGAGCTGCGCTATGGTGACGTGAGTAGTGATCAACAAAGGCACTGTGAAAATGTTGCTAAAATAGAAATTTCCAATATGGTTGCGCAACTCCTCATATAGCCCATATACCATCACAAACACATATGGATTGTGGATTATGGATTGTAACGTTTGAATTATTATCGAATCCGTTTTATTTTCAAATCCATTTGAAATTTTGAATTTGGTTGAATTCTAATAAACTACATAAATTCTGAAACACGAATTAAACAAATTTAACTCATCGAACGAAAAAAATTAGTCAAATACCGAATCGAAACAAAGCTATATTTTTCATTTTGCACATGTCTGGTCTGAGTATTTAAAAAACTGCTGATCTCCTGGGATTTTCACACACAACCATCTCTAGGGTTTACAGAGAATGGTCCAAAAAAGAGAAAATATCCAGTGAGTGGCAGTTGTGTGGATGAAAATGCCTTGTTGATGTCAGAGGTCAGAGGAGAATGGGCAGACTGGTTGCAGATGACAGAAAGGCAACAGTAATTCATATCAATATGGACCAAAATCTCTGAGGAACGTTTCCAACACCTTGTTGAATCTATGCCACGAAGAATGAAGGCAAAAGGGGGTCCAACCCGGTAGTAGCAAGGTGCACCTAATAAAGTAGGGTTAGTGTATATCCACACAGGTAGCAAAGACCCCCTAATAAATTAGTGGAGGTATCTGTGCTACCCATCTGGTGATCCTGCTGCTAACACTAGTTTTAAATGTGTGTCTAAACTGCCATGTCTGAGAAAAGCATTCCACATTTGGATCACTTTTCAGAGGTGCCTGGCATTGAGGTGACAGTGTGATGAAGTGATGCCTCCTCACTGTTATCCATCCTGCAAAAGTGCAAAGATGGTCATTCTGTGCCAATGGAGGCACAACTGATTGTTTTTAGGCTGTTTTCTCACCAGGTTAAATGTTATTCATTCATAAATTAAAGTGGTTGTAAAGGCTGAAGGTTTTTTTTAACTTCATGTATTCTATGCATGAAGGTAAAAAAACTTTCTGTGCGCAGTAGTGCCCCCAGCCCAAACCGCCCTAATACTCACCTAAGTCCCCTCTCGATCCAGTGATGTGCACTGGAGTCTTGGCTATTCCAGGACTCCCTCTCCTCATTGGCAGTGAGAGCCATTCTCATTGTCAATCACAACCAGTGAGCCAATGAGAAGACAGAGGGGGCGAGACGAGCCACTGCTCTGTGTGTGAATAGGCTGGGGAGTGCGCATGCTCGGGTGTCCCCATAGCAAGTTGCTTGCTGTTGAGGCATCCGACAGGAGGGAGGGGCTAGGAGTGCCATCGGGGACCCGAGAAGAGGAGGATCGGGGCTGCTCTGTGCAAAACCTCTGCACACAACGGATAAGTATAGACATGTTTTCTTTTTGGCCTTTAGAATCACTTTAAGTAAATCAGGAAAAATTTTGCATAATAGCCACTAAATGGAGTTGATGATCACAGTAAATAAATATTTATTTCCTATGAAATTTAGTTTTTTCCTAATGCACTCTATTTTTTTTTTTTGTAAATAAATAACATTTCACTTGGACAGTAAATAGCCCAGAAACATTCTATTGTGCCTCGTTCACACAAAACAAATGTACATGCAATTTCCCAGGATGAGTGGCTCTGCCATTTTTTTTTTTTAAGTATACATTTATTTTGATGATTTTGAATGTTTATGACAGGTCCACTTTAAAAACGTGTGCCCTCCTCCACAGTGGTAAGAGTGGTGGTATCGCCGTCTGCGGAGGTAGAAGAGGGGAATGAAGTCAGACTGACTTGTGTGGCCACAAGAGGCTCGGAGAAGGGGAGCATTTACACCTGGTTCAAGAATGAAAAGTGGTTGAAGGAGGACCTGAAAGGGAACACCCTCGACTTCCACAGAGTCTCAGCTCAGGATGCTGGATACTATTACTGCAGAATCCACAATACTCAGGGCAGCAGCATGTCACCACCAGTGACGCTACACGTCTTGTGTAAGTTTCATCTCTCTCTCTTTCTCTCTCTCTCCATGCCTGATACAAGCCCAGGAAGGCTATTCTAAGATATGAAGCCCTCCTGGAAAACCATAAAATGTAAGCATTTAAAAAAACAAATTGATCAAGGGCATTGGACCAGTTGAACATATCTGCTTGGAGTTATAAAATGTATACAAATTACTTTTTATGTATTAACTGTAGCGCTACCCCAGTACCGCTGAATGTGATGGGTCCTCTGTTCTTTGCCTCGAACTTCTCAAGAACCTCAGCTGGCTGAATAGCCAGATCAAAGGCACTCTCTATCTATGTACCTTGGTGCCAAGAGGAAATTTCCTAGGCAGTCTATAAAAAAAAAATCATCTTTCCACTCCTCCTACTGCATAGTGCCTATTGGTATCTGTAGTGTAAGGAGTCAAGTTGCCCTATTATATGGCTATCATATCAAATTACAGCTCCCAAGATTCTTAGCACTCTGAATAGAAGTCTATGGCCTTGCTTGGCTTTTCTCTCCCATTGCTGGCCAGAGGAGAATGATACAGCATAACATTAGTATCTCAGTAGAGGGAGAGAAGAATAAAAGGCAGTGTCTCCTTCTCCATATTGCTGTAGCCCAGCACCTAGTTACATAACTTTACATGTACAGTTAGAGGTCTGAATTAAGGAATGGAATCCCATACAACAACAGATTTTTATTTTCACTATTGTTTGGTAAAAGGGCAGCAGAAGTAAGACGACTCGGTCACATACTTGTACTGTATGAGGAGCCTAGCATGATGGTGGTGGCCTCTTGGAGAACTCCCAACTGAGCACCCCTGGAAGTTGAAAACAGGGCCTTCCTGGACAATGGAAGAGGACAAGTGGTTGGGTGCAGGAACTGAAGATTGGAAAATGAAAGCACTTTTTTATCACATGAGCAGATGTACAACCAGTAGTACACCAAGGATACACTAAGCTCAGCTATTAGCAGCAGATTCAAGTCACAAGCTGGGTTTGGTACAGGGGCAGACTGACAACTCATGGGGCCCCCGGGCAATAGGGGATCATGGGGCCCCTGTGTCCTTGCCCAAACTCAAAAAAGCCTGTGAAAAAGGTACCAGGGGCATCTCAATGGGCCCCCTACTGACCCCGGGCCCTCGGGCAGTGCCCAAGTCTCCAAATGGTCAGTCCGCCCCTGGTTTGGCAACAGAGTAAATATTGGTGAAGCGCTAGAAATTGAACAAAAAGCCTAATGTATGTCTCATAGACGCATGTGTGAAATAAATGCGTTATGCATATATATATTAAACATGAATAGTAACAAAAGTACACTGGAGGTGAACGAATGAATTAGTGTGTGAATGTTCATAAAAAACGCATGATCATGACATGCGTAGAAGTATTATAATGTCCAAATATCATAAGATCAAGTGCAATCTTCAAATCACTTGTATGGAGTCCCAGAATGTTATTTCTCCTTGGGATGATGTAATAAATGTACAGAGTGCGCACTTACCAGATACGCTAGTTAAAAGCGCGTTGTATATTGTACTCCTGGTATACAGGGGTCCCTCAAGTATGGATAAAGGTGCAGCCTGTGGGTGGATGGTCTTCCTCAAAGAGCTGAGGTACGATGGTCCGTATAGATAGCTCAACCTCTTCAGGGTGCTGGAACACCAACTGGAAGTGGTGCTGGGGGATTTAAGGTGCTCAATGCAAACATTAGGAATATCCCATAGTGTAGTATTATGAAGGTGTAAAAGTTATATTAAAAAACGTACAAAAAGAACTGCAGTATATATGAAAGTGCCACAATAAGAGTCACATATGTAATACACATGAACAATTGACCAGCTGGAAATATGAAGTGGCCGTCGGATCCCCGTGATCCGACGGCTTGACGTCAACGGCTTACAAGGGCTCCTCCTTATTTCACACATGCGTCTATGAGACATACATTAGGCTTTTTGTTCAATTTCTAGCGCTGCACCAATATTTACTCTGTTATCTGAAGACATTGTGGTTCACCTTTTAGTGTGTTTCAGCTGCTTATATCCATCAATTAAGTTTAGCGCTCGCTTTATCACTTTATTATTCTTTGGGTTTGGTAACAGCCTTGCAAGAAGACATTAAACCGTAGGCAGAGTCGGGGGCAGGAACATGTAGAGGTTGCCATTGTGCAGGTAGTGAGGTACTTATCTGATAGACAGAATCTTGGTCTGAAGTCCAGGCTAAGGTTGGTAACCAAGATAGCAGCACCTATAGGAGTAGATCTGATGAAAGCTGGGTCAGCAACAAGGTCAAACACAAATCTCAAGAGCAGGAGTCACAGGAGTACAGGCTGAAGGACTATTCAGCAATGACCCTCATGCACATGTAAGTGCCTGATGGCTCATAGCTTGCATTATGGTGCTGGCAGGTGGCAGGATATCCCTGACAAACTGATCCGGAGTGTTGATGTTACGTTCAAGCTTAGAGAAATCAATAAAAAATTAAATCAACCCTATTAAATGAGACAATAGTGTCGATTTTAAGATGCACTAGGACAGTGGTTCTCAACCTTCCTAATTCTGTGACCCTTTAATACAGTTCCTCATGTTCTGGTGACCCCCAACCATAAAATTATTTACCCAGTAATTATAATTCATGAGTGTCGTTTTACCTCCAATACTGCTGCTTTCAACACAGTAGCTGCTTTCTACACAGTAGCTGCTTTCAACACAGTAGCTGCTTTCTACACAGTAGCTGCTCTTTACACATCAGAAATATGTGTTTTCCTGATGGTCTTAGGCGACCCCTGTGAAAGGGTAGTTCGACCCCCAAAGGGGTCACGACCCACAGGTTGAGAACCACTGCACTAGGAGATTTACTAAAACAGTCAGAAGAGGTGTCAGCATAGTTAGAACACTATTAGGGACCAGTACTGTGGACAGAAATGGTCAGAGAGGAGCAGCAGTGCAGGGAATTACTTTTACATTTACTCAGTAAGTAGCACACCACCATTTTTCAACATTAACTATTATTTTTTGGCGTACTTATGAGTTCTTAGCTAAAGAGACATGAGATTTTAACCTCCGGAAGACTGTTTCAGTATGCTTGACAGTAATCATTTATTAAAAGAACAAAATAGCATGTTTACAGTTAACATTCTTGATAATCAGCATAGGAGGTAGGAATCACCAAGGTGGAGATAAAGTAAGGCTGTAAACAGGAATGCCAGCTTCAGATCCCCTGCTTAACATCACAGGGACCCGCTCTGACAACTGTCAAAAGATCACCAGCGTCCAGTAAACTGCCTACTGCCTTGTGGTAACCTCTACATGCTGGTGGCAAGAGGAGGTCGGTAATGCGCTTCATAGGACAACCCTTCTTTCTCAAACCAGAGAGACAGGTTTGAGAAAGAAGGGTTGCCCTTGGAAATGTGTTACCACTCACCTCATAGAAGGTGGGGAGACAAGGGAGACGTGATTAGCAACTCAGAGATATTGATATTGTGTTGTGTTATCTTTACATGCACACTGATTTTCCATGTTTAAGTTGCCCCAACAACCTTCCTATTGGGGACCTCCACCCAACAACTGCCTGGGCTGCTATGACACTGGTTTCCCAACCTATTTTTTCAGTTTTGAATAGAATACTAAAAAACCCATGTCAGGTTTTTGCTTTCCAAAGACTCAACAGAAAATAAATAAAAATGTGCAACATATCTAAAATGAGGAATAAAGCCTCTCTTTGACCACTATCACCAGAATTGATGGCCAGATGGAAAGATTTCTCCTCAATTCATGTTTTAGTGATAATAATCACATTGGATTCCCTATCATTTCCTATACCGGTGACAATGGTCAACAGGAGAAACAAATGAGTCAATCTTCCTAGTAAAACCAAAGACATTAAAAAAACATGAAAGGGGTTCTAGTCCTGAATCACAGAAAAAAAGTATTTGCTTTAGATACACTCTTACTTATTGCATGAAGAGTACTAAATATCTCATGGAATGAGCCTTTACTTTTATAGTATTAATTCTGCTTTTCTCACAGATCCCCCCAGACACCTCTCAATAACATCTTTTGTGTCAAGTCAGGATCCACTGACAGCCATTATTCTGTGCACAGTGGACAGTAATCCTCCATCAATGTTCTTCGTATACAGAAAAGAGACTCTGGTAGCGTCCAGCTTGAAGGATCCTTCCAGTGATAGATTCAAAATGAAGTCTTCTACCAACTCCTTACAACTGGAAATCCGGGATGTTGTACTGGAAGATGAGGGAACCTTTACCTGCACAGCAAACAGCACACATGGCTCAGCGAAGGAAACAATACAATTCACTGCGCCAAGTAAGCAACAATCTGTATTGGTGGCTTTGGGAAACTTGATTTTCTTTTGCTGTGAATGACAGCATAAAGAAAAAAACAAATCCATCCAATTGGAAAGTAAAATCTTCAATTCCTAAACTAGGGAATACACTCTACTATACCATACTATACTATACTATGCTTTTCATTTTTGGATGTCTGTATATGATAATATACAGTATTTTATTGAAAAAAAACTATAGCTGTTAATTATATATCGCTGAATGCTTTTTGTATTTTGATTAAGAAAGTTCTAGGATTGCATACTTCATCCAGTCTTTAAAAATAGAAGCAGGAATTGATCTCTGAATTCTTCTTACTAGATATTTACATATATATATATACCTGTATATACACACTATATTGCCAAAAGTATTGGCCTGACTGCCTTCACACACACATGAACTTTAATGGCATCCCATTCTTAGTCCGTAGGGTTCAGTATTGAGTTGGCCCCGCCCTTTGCAGCTATAACA